TCAAATGTCCTGCCTGTACCACATCATGGTTCAAATGTCCTGCCTGTACCACATCATGGTTCAAATGTCCTGCCTGTACCACATCCTGGTCCAAATGTCCTGCCTGTACCACACCATGGTCCAAATGTCCTGCCTGTAACACATCCTGGTCCAAATGTCCTGCCTGTACCACATCCTGGTCCAAATGTCCTGCCTGTACCACATCATGGTCCAAAGGTCCTGCCTGTACCACATCCTGGTCCAAATGTCCTTCCTGTACCACATCCTGGTCCAAATGTCCTGCCTGTACCACATCCTGGTCCAAATCTCATGCCTGTACCACATCATGGTCCAAAGGTCCTGCCTGTACCACATCATGGTCCAAATGTCCTGCCTGTAACACATCCTGGTCCAAATGTCCTGCCTGTACCACACCATGGTCCAAAGGTCCTGCCTGAACAACATTATGGTCCAAATGTCCTGCCTGTACCACATCCTGGTCCAAAGGTCCTGCCTGTACCACATCATGGTCCAAAGGTCCTGCCTGTACCACATCATGGTCTAAATGTCCTGCCTGTACCACATCATGGTCCAAAGGTCCTGCCTGTACCACATCATGGTCTAAATGTCCTGCCTGTACCACATCCTGGTCCTATTCTCTGGACTGTATTTTGTCACATTGTCACAATAGTGATGTCCTCACAGTCCTGATGTCCTCACTATCCTGACGTCCTCGCACTTGATGTTCTCACTGTCATGACGTCCTCACTGTCCTGAAGTCCTCACAGTCATGACGTCCTTACAGTCGTGATGTCTTCAGAGTCATGACGCCCTCAAAGTTGTGACGTCCTCACAGTCCTGAAGTCCTCGCAGTCTTGATGTCCTCACTGTCATGATGTCCTCAGAGTCATGACATCCTTACAGTCCTGATGTCCTTACAGTCAAGACGTCCTCACAGTCATGATGTCCTCAGAGTCATGACGTCCTCACAGTCCTGAACTCCTCGCAGTCATGACGTCCTCACTGTCATGACATCCTCAGAGTCGTGACGTCCTTACAGTCCTGACGTCTTCACAGTTCTGACTAGTGTTGTAGTACTTGAAACCGGTCTTGGTCTAAAGACCGGTCTCAAGACCATTTTTTGATGGTCTTACTCTCGTCTCGGACTCGACAGAATTTGTACTCGTCTCGGTCTCGGACATTGAGGACTCGCACGCAGCACTCCCTGGAAAGTGAGCCGTGGTTCTCTGGGAGTGGTAAAGGATGTCTTCAAAATTGAAGTAAAACATTTGGCTACATTATTCATAAATAATATCACTGTAAAACAACAACAACCAGGAGAAATCGTAGAGCAACTTGTAAATTTGGCAGTGCTTCACTTTCAGAGACGGTGGGGACAACGGAGCCCGTTCTCATGCCCCCACATCAAGGTATTGACGCTTTGGGCTGGGACTGACCAAGCGTCAATAAGTTGATGCTGGGGGTACCCCCACCCCCAACGTCTGTTCTGTACGAGATGAGGTGTAGGAGGATGAGTGCGTTGTCGTAGTTTTTTACAAGACTAGGATTGCGCGAAACTAACCATCCCAGATCCTAAATTTAACTTCTATTAGCCTATCCCTGAACACAGACCCTAAAGTTAACCATTAATCCTGAGCTCTCATGTTAACCTCAGACGTGATGCAACCCGGAAAAGCCGCGGGCGGCAAGGACGGACGCGTCAACGTGTATGACATGAGAACATGTTAGACAACGTCAAACTTTTATCGTCACTAACATTAACAATCTGCCTCTGTAGCAAAATTCTTTCCTCTGCCCTCACACAAAGATTTAGTCAATATTAGCTCTGTATATTAAGTTAACCAAAGTGGGGGAAAAAGTATTTAGTCAGCACCAATTGTTCAAGTTCTCCCGCTTAAAAAGATGACAGAGGCCTATGATTGACATCATAGTTAGACCTCAACTATGAGAGACAAAATACTTTTTCACCCACTGTACACGTGTACAGAATACTCCATCTTTTAGGACACATTATTTTTTTCATCTGGTCTTGGTCTTGTCTCGGTCTCGCCCTCCCTTGGTCTTGGTCTCGACTTGGTCCAAACCCTAAAAGTCTTGGTCTTGTCTCGGTCTCACCCTCCCTTGGTCTTGGTCTCGACTTGGTCCAAACCATAAAAGTCTTGGTCTTGTCTCGGTCTCGAGACACTGTGGTCTTGGTCTTGACAATGGTCTCGGGTTAGGTGGTCTTGACTACAACACTAGTCCTGACATCCTCAAAGTCCTGACGTCCTCATGGTCTTGACGTTCTCACAGTCATGACGTCCTCACAGTCCTGACTGTCATGATTTGTCAGTTTTCACCTTGGTTTTCCTTGTGTTTCTATGTTCCCCAGTGTGTCTCAGTCCAGCTGCCCCTTATTTGTTTGATTAGTCACC